GATATGCTGACCCTGTAAACCGCTTAGAGAGGGCTGAAAGCCCTATGAAACGGTATATAAGTCTAACTATTGCTATTGCTGTTTCCAGGGCAGCCCCAGGGGCCACATCTAAAAACCTCATCTCAGGCCTCGAGTTTAACACCCCTGCCCTAGAGTCAGGCATGACTGACAGGGAAACCTTTACCTTTCGTTCAAGACTTGTCTTGACTTGCAAAGTTGAGTATCTCCACCCCACCCCGTCCAATATCACTCAATTGTTCCTCCTCATCCATCTGCCCAGGAACCCAGTGATCCAAGTAGCTCGGTGTGAGAAAGCACTACAATCCAGCCTGTCAGAAGTCATGTGCTAGGCAGAAGACAAGGTTCAAAAAAAAAAATAAGTCTGTGTATAACTGGAGTAGAAAGTGGGTGAATGCTTCTTGGATGAAGCCCAGAGCATGTGATAATCAGATTACCGAAGTGTGCATGTATGGGTCAAGAGGGGGTGGGGGGGAAGCACAGTTGAATGAAATACCAGGAAGAAATAAGCAAGAAGAATTTCTCAGCCAGTGAGACGGATAAAATCTTGCTTGCTGGGAGTTAACTGCACGACCAGCCAGGACACTAGATTTGTGTTTGTGTGTGTGAAATGTCTCTTTTTTCTATCAGCATAATTTTGGGGATCCTGCCCCTTGGGTCCAGCCAGTTCCCTCGGGCGTGTGCTAACTCGGGCAACTTGTTGAGGAAGGAGTGTTGTCCAACATGGCCCGGTGATGGTTCTCCTTGTGGAGAGCTTTCAGGCAGGGGTACTTGCCGAGGGAGTCTTCTGTCGGTTGCTCCTCTCGGTCCTCAGTTCCCTTTCTCTGGCGTGGATGACCGAGAGGACTGGCCGGCGGTGTTTTACAACAAGACTTGCAGGTGCTCAGGCAACTTCATGGGACACAACTGCGGCGATTGCAAATTCAGCTTTGGAGGACCCAACTGCACCGAAAGAAAGCTGCGGGTCAGGAAAGACATCTTCAAGCTCAACGCCGGAGAAAGCTACCAGTTCCTTGCCTATCTCAACTTGGCGAAATATACCACCAGCCAGGATTTCGTCATTGCCACTGGAACGTATGCCCAAATGAACAACGGCACCACTCCGATGTTCCGAGACACCAGCGTCTATGACCTGTTCGTCTGGATGCATTATTATGCGTCTCGAGACACGCTTCTGGGAGGCGCCAACGTCTGGAGGGATATTGACTTTGCGCACGAAGCTCCAGGTTTCCTTCCTTGGCATCGGCTGTTTTTGCTCCTGTGGGAACGTGAGATCCAGAAGATGACAGGGAATGAAGATTTCACCATACCCTACTGGGATTGGAGAGATGCGAAAGGCTGTGACATCTGCACAGATGAGTACATGGGAGGCAGACATCCCAGTCAACCAAACCTATTGAACCCAGGATCCTTCTTCTCTTCATGGCAAGTATGTACAGGCATGAGGGGGGGGAGGCAGGAGAGGAACTTGGCTTCCCCCTACCAAAATTTTTAATCTATCTACCTATCTACTTATCTACTTATTTACCTACCTAATCACCTACCTACCTACCTACCTACCTACCTACTTACTTACCTACCTACCTACCTTCTTATCTATCTATCTATCTATCTATCTATCTATCTATCTATCTATCTATCTATCTATCTATCTATCTATC